GTTTGGGATTGGGGCGTTGTATGTAGTACAGTGTGGAGTATATCTAGTGCGGGATTGGGGGGGGTGTATGTAGTGCAGAGTTGGGGGGGTGTATGTAGTGCAGAGTTGGGGGGGTTTATGTAGCACAGAGCAGTATTGGGGGGTGTATGAAGCACAGAGCAGAGTTGGGGGTGTGTATGTTGCACAGAGCAGAGTTGAACGATGCATAGAGCACAGAGCAGAGTTAGGGGTTTTATGTAGCACAGAACAAAGTTGGGGGGTGCATGTAGCACAGAACAAAGTTGGGGGGTGTATGTAGCACATAGCAAAGTTGGGGGGTGCATGTAGCACAGAGCAGTGCGGGGGGAGGATTGTGGGGTGCACTGTAACAGCAGGGATGCCATCAGAAGGGCCAGTGGTGGATCCAGGAGGGGAAATTATTAATATTATTACCGCCAGATGGGCAGCACCGCTCCCTCCCTCCGCCGCCGCTATGCAGGCAGTGCCATGGCCATCCAGGGTGAGATTCTCTTCCGGGTCTAGCCTCTCTGAATGGTTCTCTGAAACATAATTTTGACGAAAGGACTGCTGCTTCTTCCTTCTGTCTTGCGGAAGCAATCCAGATTTTCCCCCTGTCACCCTCTTGATGGCCTCTACCGAGGGGGCTCCGGATATTAGCTTACCGGAAAATGGAATAGCGCATAGTCCCTGTTTTCATGCGCAGTCCGCTGACCAATGTTTCAGCCACAAAGCTCTACGTCCTGTAACGGAAAAAGACATTAGGCGGGTCGACAGCTGCAGCAGATCAACAGAAGCTTCAGCCACAAAGCCTGAGGCCATCTTCAAGTCACCCAAGGAATCAAGGGTCTGCAAGACACTCCTGCTGTAGAATACATTTTCTTAAGGTCGAACTCCAGTCTTCTGCCCATAGTATCCTTGAAAGGAGACAGAATCATCTAAAAGGTAAAAGTACATTTCTAGCTAGCCTCTGCAGGGCAGCATCCACCCTAGGGGGGTGTATCCCACACCTCTAAATCTGATGAATGACAGGGATATAACTTAGAAATACGGTTGGACAAACTCCCCTTCCTATCCGGTTTTGTCTATTCCTCTTCTATGATCTCTTTTATCTCAAAAAATAGTGGGAAGGTTGGCAACTCTTTTTTGAGATGGGTAAAAAATCACCTCTGTTTGCTGACTGTGATCTTCCTCCCAGTCCAGTGCAAGCTTGATAGCTGAAACAAAAGGAGACACCAATGCGAAATCAAACAAAAAGGTCTCATCCAGACCCTCTTCTTTTTGTACATCCGAACCCTCTTGATCTGAATCCTGTGAGGATATTATATCTGTAGGCCTCTCCACCTCTCTCTATCGTTTAGATGATGAGCCCGCATACTGCTTAATGCCTTCACCATATATATACTGCTCAAAAAAATTAAAGGAACACTTTGAAAACACATCAGATCTCAATGGGGAAAAATAACATGCTGGATATCTACTGTATACTGGATTGGGTAATGTGTTAGGAATAAAAGGATGCCACATCGTTTGATGGAAATGAAAAATGATCTACCTACAGAGGGCTGAATTCAAGGACACCCCAAAAATCAAAGTGAACAAATGATGCAGCAGACTAGTCCATTGTGCTGAAATGTCATTGAAGCAACTCAAAATGGTACTCATTAGTTTGTATGGCCCCCAGGTGCTTGTATGGATGCCTGACAACGTCGGGGCATGCTCCTAATGAGGCGACGGATGGTGTCCTGGGGTATCTCCTCCCAGATCTGGACCAGGGCATCACTGAGCTCCTGAACAGACTGAGGTGCAACCTGGCAGGCGTCGGATGGACCGAGCCATAATGTCCCAGAGGTGTTCTATTGGATTCGGGTCAGGCGAGCATGGGGGCCATTCAATGGTATCAATTCCTTCATCCTCAAGGAACTTGCTGCAT